CAGCATGTCCGACAGAAAAGCTATGCCAAAACGCATCGTTCAGACCTAGAGTTTCAGGTAGGGGATATGGTCCTCCTGAAGGTGTCACCTTGGAAAGGTGTCATCCGGTTCAGGAAATGGGGAAAGTTGGGCCCAAGTACATCGGTCCATTCAGGGTTGTGACCCGGGTGGGCCGGGTTGCTTATAGTTTAGATCTTCCAGCAAAGCTCGGTCAGATTCACAGTACCTTTCATGTCTCCCAGTTGCGAAAGTGTTTAGTGGATGATTTCGTAGTTATGTCTTCGGAGGATATTCAGGTGGATGACTGCCTGAATTATATTGAGAGACCGATAGCGATTATCGATCGAAATGAGAAGACCTTGAGGAATAAGGTCGTGGGGTTGGTTAAGGTACAGTGGAAGCACCGAAAGGGATCAAAATGGACATGGGAGCCCGAGGAGGAAATGAGGGAGCATTACCCCGAGTTGTTCGAGGCGACGAACTTCGAGGATGAAGTCTGATTCAAGTGGGGGAGAATTGTAACGCTCAGTCCATGTATTATTTATATTTTGGTCCCTTATATGTTGAATTATTGCTTTTGGACATTGTAATTAGTAAGTTTGAAGGAATGAGGGACTGTTTCTGCCAATTTGGGATTTTGAAGGCGGAGCCCGAATGCGGGGCGTCCCCCTGATGAACGCGTTGCGTTCACGTGCAGAATGCAAACCCTAACTTGTAGGGATTAGGACATATATAAAGAACATTATGTCCCATACCTCAGCCTCCTTATCAGCCTCTCAAACTCAGAAACCCTAGAAAGCCTAACATTCCTCATCTTTGTGTGATTTTGATCTTGTGAAGCCCATTTTGATGGTTTGAAGCTTGGAAGGAGAAAGAAGAAGTTGGTGAAGAAGAACTTGTGTAGCTTGAGCTTAAAGATCTGAGATATCATCATCATCTAGTACTCATTTGAGGTAAAAAGCTCACAACTTGCCTCATGTATGCTTAGATCTATGGTAATGGTGTTTTGGACCTTTTTGGTCCCAAGAATGGATTTTTATGGTCCAAATCCGTTTCTAGACTTAGGGTTTCCACCCTTGGTGCTATTTGAGTCCCTAAGACAGAAAAGTTGCCACCTTGAAGGTCTTAATGGGTTCATGCAAGAGTTATAGCCATCTTTATGGAAGTTTATTGCTATTTCTTGAGATTGGGACTTTTGGGGGCATGCAAAGTCACCAAGTCTGTGACTTCATGAGTCTAGAGGTCCTAGATGGCTTGGATCTACGTTTGGGTAGCATGGCTTAAGCCTTAAGTGCTTAATATGCCTTTTTGAAACCAGCATGCAAACGCGCTGCGTAAGGCTTGGGAACGCGTTGTGTTCCCGTTGGGACTCGCGATCTGAATTGATGAGGAACACACAACATTCCACAAGGGAACGCCCTGCGTTCCTTACGTCAGTGGGCTTCCTTGAGCCATTTCCTTGGACTTTACTTCTATGGACCTTAGTGGATCATCCTTTTGGGCTTTTATTAGACTATATCTTATGTTGGGCTTAAGAGAAGGCCCATTTGAGGAGTTGGGCCCAATTTAGAAATTTGGGTCATTGGTGGGCCATTAATGGGCTTGGAAAAGCTATCTAGAATTGGGCCTTCCATGTTATGGATTTGGGCCTAGGTCATGGGTCAAATTATATCAGGGGTAAAATGGTCATTTTACCCTAATAAGGATTATTGGATTTTGAATAAGTGTTATTTTGGTAATGATAGCTCGGGGAGTCGTCGGGGCAGCCATTAGAGATTCCTTACCGTGAGATTCTGCATTCAGCTTTGCTAGGTGAGTTTTCCTCCTGTATGAACGGATCGAAGGCACCAATGCCCGCTCATATATGTATGCCAGTATGTTCCAGACCAAGGTCCGATGCCGGGCAGTGCCCGATATAGGTTTATATGTTTTCGGATTCCTATCCGATGTCAGGCGGTGCCCGAGGAATGTTTGTATGCTTAATGTCTTCTTGATTCTTGCATGTGTCTGTATTGTATGTTTCCGGATTACGGTCCGATGACGGGCAATGCCCGAGGAATGTTTGTATGCTTCCGGATTTGGGTCCGATGTCGGGCGGCGCCCGAGGAACGTTTATATGTTTATGTTATGTGATTATTTATGTGTATTTTGTTGATCTGTTTATATGTATACCGAGCTTTGCTCGATGCCAGGCGGAGCCCGATGCCGGACTATGTCCGATGCCGGGCGGGGCCCACGATATGTTTATATGTGATTATGTGCTTATGTGTATGGTATGTGGTAGTTTGGGGAGACTCACTAAGCTTCGTGCTTACAGTTTTCAGTTTTGGTTTCAGGTACTTCTGGTAGCAAAGGGAAGAGCTCGCGATGACTGCAGTGCACACACCATGATATTTAGCCTGGGATGTTTTACTTTGATATATTGACATGTGTTTTTGATATGATGTTTTGAGATACTATAACTTATATTTTGGATGAGATGATTTTGATAACTATGGTTTATTTATGATTTAAAAACAAAATTTTTGGTCATGATTTTTGGGATGTTTCAAGCACACTACGTTGGGCGTAGTCTTTTGTATGATGGGCTTACATCTCAATCACCCATGTTTCAATTATCCAAAACTACATTGGGCGTACTTGGCTCTGAAGACACACTCGAATACTTGGATCACTTATACCATGGCAACTACATCCGAAATGGGCTAAATCTTTCCTTTCTCGAAGCCCTAAGCCTCATGACAACTGATGACTGGGCCGCAGCCCTAGGCAACAGAGCAAATCTGAAACCGAGTGTTACAGAAACTTTTAGTCCCGTAATGAAACCGGCCACTCCCCATCTCATTCTTGCCCTAACCACTACTCAATATTGGTGTCTTCGTCAACTCGACAATAATGCTTCACTTGAAGGAACACTTATGGAATCCGTATATATGTCACAACCACCGCGTTTTACCGACCCTTCCTTTCCCACTCACGTATGCAAGCTCAACAAAGCTATTTACGGATTACATCAAGCTTCACAGGCTTGGTACGATGAACTCAAAAATCACCTCTTCTTAAACCAATTCAAACCCATTGTTTCAGATTCCTCTATTTTCATCAACAAAAAACACAACTTCTCCGATCTTTATTCTTGTCTATGTTGATGATATAATCATCACCGGTCCTAATCCCTCTCTTATAAACTATTTCATTAAAACTCTTGCTACTCAATTCTCTCTAAACGATCTTGCTAATCTATCTTATTTCCAAGGTTTCGATGTTCCCCCTCATCCCTATGGATTACTTTTTTTCCAAAACAAAATACATTATCGACATTCTTACTCGTGCTATGAGTGACTGTAAACCCGCCACTACAACTATGGTTGCCTTATATCCACCCGAAAAAATTGACGGGCAACCACTTCCCTCACCAACCGAATACTGATCCTTCATAGGGGCTCTACAATATTTATCTCTAACACATCCAGATGTTGCTTTTACTATCAACAGGTTGTCTTAGTTTATGCATGCTCCCACGGATCTTCATTGGGCTGCTTAAAAAGTTTGTTGCGCTGCCTATACGAGATAATTCATCAATGACTTTTGAAGTAATTCTCCTCTACAACTCCATGCTTTTACCGATGCTGACTGGGCGAGTGATAAGCTCACTTATTGTAGTAGAACAACTAGATACATTGTTTACCTTGGCTCAAATCTGATATCTTGGAGCTCTAAAAGGCAACCCACTCTAGCTTGCTATTCCACGGAAGCTGAATTTCGAGTTGTCGCTTCCGCCACAACCAAAATACAATGGTCAATCTCATTACTTCATGAACTTTGTTATAAATCAACCGTCACACCGACCATTTATGTCGATAAAATAAGTGACAGACACTATCAGCCAATCCAATATTTCATTCACGCATGAAGCACATAGCTCTTGATTTCCATTTCGTTCGTGAGAAAGTTCGAGAAGGTGCGATATGTGTCACTCATATTTCTAGAGATGATCAACTTGCCGACGCTCTCACCAAGCATCTACCAAAACCCCGCTTTCAATCACTCATCCAAGATTGACCTTCTCCACAAGTCGTCCATTTTGCGGGGGCATATTAGACCACAAATGGATGGATTATAATTCAAATTATTTTGAATTTTGTATTAATTAATGCACATATATCTTTTGATTTATTTTTCCTTATTTGCTGTAACTTTCCTTAGTCTTTAGGATATTATCCTGTAGTTATACTGTACCATTCTTTGGAACAAAACACAAAATATTGAAATCATTTTAAGGATTACTTATTTGTATTTATGATTAATGATATAAGGTAACGTATAAGTTCTAATAAATAATGTACAAGTAGGTTTCCAATTCTCGATTCCATTCTGTAGAAACAAAATCACCCATTCCAATGGTGATATAGGGATGTATTGGTTATTCCTTCACTAGCTTCAACACATACACATAGCTAAAGAAAAAAAAATTTAAAAGTAAAGAAACAATTAAATTTTTATAAACCGCACTCTCCGACTTGGCCTGATATACCGGACATACCCATGCCTAGTCGCACTCTTTAAAGCATGTTAGAGGCCTGAATGTTGGTGTCGGTTGACCGGTCAAATCCTGTTTATGCCCACTCATAGCCTGGTTCGAGCCTTTGTGCATTCCATATTTGCAGTTCACTCAAAAGTAATATTATATTTGTATAGAGGTGAGATACTAGTCACCAAAGGGTTTCTAGCCTAACGGTGTTATCATTTTTTCTTGAGGTTGAGGGTTAAGTCTAATTGTAGACATATGTGAATTTAAAAGGTAGTTTAAGAGTAGATTAAATTTACCGTTAAAAAACATAATAAAATAAAATAAAATAGTAGTCCATTTGCTAAGAAAAAGTCGAATCATTTAAATTTGACAAGCACGCAATAATCGAGAGACTATTTTGTAAATATGTACAGTTGGACTAACTGATTCTCTCATCCACCATGCGCACAAGGAAACCTAAATCGGCGGAATGGGGATCGGAGACGTCGAGAAGATGGTAGCCGTCGGCCTCATCTGGGGTGCCACAAATGCCCTTATGCGTCGAGGCGCACTTATATCAGAACAACAAATTCTTAAGCAAAAATCATCATCAAGCAAAACCCACAAAAACCCAATTCTCAAAACCCTGATTGACTGGTTTAATCTCCTTTTAGTTTGGCAGTACTCTGTTCCTTTCCTCGTAAACCTATCTGCTTCCGCTACTTTTTTCGCCATTCTAAGTGACACACCGATCTCTCTTGCTGTTCCAGTCACCAATGCGACGACATTCGCTGCCACCGCCGTGTTTGGGATGTTGCTCGGTGAAGAGACGCGAGTTGGGTTGACTTTGTTTGGTACTTTTCTGATTGTTCTTGGTGTTTATGTTTGTGTTGTTTGATTGATTTGTACATGACCCAAGTACTTTCCATGAACTTCGCAAGCACGCTTTCTCTGATTTATATAAAATTTCATTCAGGAATCAGGATACCCTATAAGTTACTTGTTTGGTTGTTCCTTATCACGGTAAATTGAAATAAATTTGGAATTTTGGTTACTTTTCATGTGCCATTTGATCATTGCCCATCACGTGTTCGATAAAATGTCCATATGGACAATTATATTAGTTTCTTTTGTATGCATCACCAGATGTTTGAATAAGTGTCCACAGTTGATATCAACAAGAATCTGAAACACCGATATAGAATACAATAAATAATAGTTTCATCAATATGTTTCGTACAGTTTTAAGATACATTCAGAATACAAACAAGAAATTGAAAAAGCAACTGTCTTGCAATGAAACAAATCTCAAAGTATTAGTATTGTGGCTTAGAGCATTCAGGTGGCATCTGGCCTTTAAACCGCTTAAAATCAGCACAATAGTTATAAATCATGTAGTTATCTCTCACCCATTTGAGTGGACCCTGTTGACCATTGCTCAATTGCTTATAAACAGGAGACATTTGTGTTTAGAGTTGGTTATGAAATTATATAATCTTCATTTGTTTTGTTTTAGCATTTCGATGCTTCCAAATAGGAACGCCCTCTTTGATTGGATTCCTGATCCTATAAGTCAAAGTCAGAATTGGAATTAGAATCGAAATCGGAATCAGACATTCCATTTTTGAAAAGGCATAATATATATATACCTGAAGTTTGGTCCAAAACAAGGCGGAGGTCATCGCCGTTCCCTAGAATGGAAGAATGGTGAGCAGTGAGCACCCCAATTGAAATACATGCTTTTGGCAATAGTTGCATCAATCAGGGTGGAATGGAATGCTATTCCGATCACCAATACAGTAATCACCAAAACTTGAGAACATGCCATTTTCAATTTGTTGATGTTTTTCTTCTTTACTTGGTTGGTGTTCTTGTTGGTTCTTAATGTGGGGTTATATAGGCATTTGGGTCCCATTGTTCTTTTGACTTTCTGTTTTGACTTGTCCTCCATTTTGACATTCTTGCATAATTTCTGTTGTAGTTGTCAGCATTTTTCTTTTAAACAGTTTTTGTTTTTAACTTATATGATCAATAAGTAATCAAAGAATATTTACTTCTGTACTGCATTTTGCAGAATCTTGTCCCATAAAGATTACTGATGCAGGTTTTTTTGAGATTTAAAAAGAAATAGAGATCTTGAAAAAAAAAAAATTTCATATATGATTACACCGTAATAATATATGAATATTCAAAAGGGAATAAACATATTTGAATAATCATATATGATTTATTCATATATACATATAAGTTTCGTTGAAAATAAATCATATATGATTATTTATTATTCATATATGATTATCTAGTATTTGAACTGTTGTATCCTTTAAATTTGATAATATTTAATTTCTTTTTAATGTTTGAATAAAGCATTAAAAATAGAAATAAAATACATGCACTTGTAAAAAAAAAAAAAAAAAAAAAAAAAAAAAAAAAAAAAAAAAAAAAAGTGAAGATTTTTGCTGTGAATTTAGCATTATATAAAAGCGAAAGTTTATCTAGAAATTTATATATAACAACACTAGTGCAATGAAAACAAGTTTTCAAATAATTGATCAAGCAAAAAACTTTTGTGGTATAGAAACAAAGTTATATTAAGATGCAATATGGTTTTGGGTTTAAAATTAAAACCAATCATAAAGTAGGCTTTATTTATTTATTTTATTTTATTTTTTAAAGAAAGAGCTAAATCGTCAGTTTTTCAAGATGACTTTATTTGGGTTATGGTTTTTAATTACTTGTAAAAATTTTGTTTGGTTCTAATCTTTCTGGTTGTGCACGTCGGGTGTGTAATGTTTAGCCACCAATAAGTATACAAAAACTTGGGTTCTAAAGACGTGCACCCAATGACAAAATACAAACATTAAAGGTTATAATTGTATTATTTACTTTCAACTCGGCCATCTTTTTCAAAAATTATCATTGAGCAGCAAGAGGAGATTATACAAATCGGCTCTTGTGTAGTTGATAAAAGACATCTTTAGTGTCTATCTTCAAAAATTAATTCGGACAATCTTTTAGATGTTTTAAACTTACATGATTTATCATTTGTTGGTTTAAATTTACACATTTCATCATTTACCATATATTAGATGACTGAATTACCCTTATTATTTTATTTTTAATTCATTTTATATTTAAAAAAAAAGAAATTACAAACTACATATCTATCTTCCCTTTTTCCTTTCAAATGAGTTGAAAAATAAAACATCTTCATCACCACCTACCAAACAACCACCACCACCGACGACAACCATCGTCAATGACCACCGCCTCCATCATCTTAAGCAAATGTCTCTTCTTCACCTTCAACTACCTACTCTGTTTCTCCTTTCTTTCGGAAAATCATCAGAATGTCGGAGCACCGCCTACCATCATCGATGGACTATAGCCGTCCTCTCTCTCCTCCTTCTTATCCGATCTGAGTACTCCCTCTTCGAGCCTTCACCTTCATCGTCTTAGATCGCCGCCGCCTACGGTTTTGAACCGTCGCCTGTCTCATGACGGATTTTCACTTTGGGAATTTCAAATCGAGCTCCACCGGTTGTAACATGGCTAGGATTTCTATGGACCGGACGTCATGGAGGTGGATGGAAATGGTACGACGATGGTGGAGGTTGGACGTCGGGATCCGTTGATTCGTCGCCCAAGTAAACGTTATTACAACCACCACCCACATGGCTTAAGTACGTGTTACTTCCGTTCATCGACTCTGATAATATAGGAAAACAAACACGTTATCATTGTCGCCACGACTGTCTGGACGGAGAAGCAAGAGACGATAGTGATCGCCATAATTGCTCGTTGTGCTCATGTGGTGGTGTTAGTGCTGACCGGTGGTGGTGTTGTTTACCCATATATGATGGTTGTTTGATCGATGGAGAGGAAGAGGACATGATGTGAAACAGGAAGACGAAGTTGGGGAAAGGTAAGGGGAAGGGTGGATTCGGGTGTAGATTTTTATTTTTTTTAATCTAAAAATGATAAACAAATAAAATAAAAGTGAAAAATAAATTATTAAGGGAAAATAATCATTTTATGTCATCCCCTTGAGGTCGAGGGTTCAAGTCTCACCCGGAATATATAGGTGATGTTAGGAGTAGTTCAATAGGAGCAAGTTAGATTTTCCGTTTCAAAAAAAATGAATGGAAATCCGAATTTTGAGAAAATGAACCCGGTTTTTATGATCCTGAGTCTAGACCGGATTTTTAGGTAGTTAGTGACGGTTTGAGATGGTTACAAAACAATCATATGGTAGTTTTTGGCGGTTTTCAGACAAATGTGTTATCTCCTAAGATTGATCATTCTCGTTTTTTCTGTGTTATGGAACAAGAAACATAACAATCATCATTCTCTCTTCTTGCTCTCATATCGAGTTTTATCCGATTGAAGATTTCGAGAGTATCATCGCAATACTTTGATCTGAAAGTTTTCTCACAACTCTTAGGTGCTGTTTGTTTTTTCGAAGCGAAAATTCGTGAAGTCTGCGGACCACCTCTGCAATCCTCTGTAGCAGAAGAGGTGGAACAAACGGTTGCAGCCAATAATAAGAAGCATGTTTGTTTTTTAACATCTGCAGACTGCTGCAGTAAACTAAAATTTAAATAAACTAATTTTATAAACTGAAAATAGTTTCAACACGAAAATTTAAATAACTCTAGTCTTAAAACATTGAAGGAATACTAAAAATAACATGTAAAAAAAAATATATATAAAACTTAAAAAAAAAAAAAAACTTACAAAAATATAAAAGAAGCTAACAGCTTTATTCTAGAAAAAAACTAATTTTAAAAAACATAAAAAAGAAAATAATAAAAAAAATAAAGAAATAATTGCAAACGATGTCTACAAAGTTCGTAAAAAATTACACACGTTAAAAAAGATGAAATTGAAACTGAAAATATTATTAACAGAAACGGTAAAAAAATTAAAAAAAATTAAAGTTTTTTTTTTTTAAAAAACCAAGTTAAAAAAATTTGTGAAAACTATAATAAGAAATTTTATCAAATCCGTAAATAAAAGTTTAAAAAAATCTATGTTTTTTAAAAAAAAAAAGTTAAAAAAAAAAGATATACCAAAATTCTAAAAAAAACACTTCAAAAAAAATGAAAGTTGAATAGGTTTGAAGAGACAAGTCAAGTGTTGCGCCACACAGCACACACGCAGAGGTTTTGCAGTCTGAAGTGTTCCGAAAAACAAACTGCTGCGAGAGGGAAAGTGTTGCGCGTGTGCTGCGCCGCGCAGCAGAAAGTGGTTTGAAGATGTTTTTTTTAAAAAAACAAACAGCACCTTAGTAATCCAAGTATTCTCAACCCCGGTTTTCTAACATCATCATTTATAGTAATATTGGATATTCATCATTATGATTAAGCTTTTTTTTTGTTAATTACGTGTTGTTGTGAAGCAAATTAGTCATTGAAATAAATCGGCTTTTAATATAATGCAAAATCCTAACTTCATAAGATAGAAGCATCAATATATAACAAAACATATCAGTTAGCTAGTAAAGCGAAATAAGCTATGAAAAAAACACATTATGCATAATGCCGCTTAGAGGATACCTTTTTGAAATCCAAAGCTACGGAAACAAACTAAAGCCACATATAAGAATATAAGGAAGATAAGAATATAAGAAACATGAAATAAACATTTAATGGCTAAGAAGGTAGACATGGCCATTAAATCATTTACATGTAAAATAATAAAAATCAAATTTATCAATTGTTTCAAATTCTGAGGCTAATAAATTTTTGTTTACTTAAGGAAAAATGTTTTATGGTAGTAAGCTAACAAACTAAACTGGTATTTGTAAGGTACACTACAAGAAATATCGGTATTAGCGGCGACCCCTTTAGGTACACTACAAACTAAACGCGTTACATGTCGCCGCTAATAGTTGGTGTCGTCGCTAAAGGGGTGTCGCCGCTAATAACCTATTGTCCGTTCGATCTGCTTTTCATCCAACGGTGGGAAATGAGGAAAAAGGGCGCTGTGTTTTCCCTCCAGGGGTGTCGCCGCTAATAACCTATTGTCGCCGCTAAAACCCTAGCGTCGCCGCTAATACTCGTCGCAGATAACCCCCCCACTGCGTCACTTTTCTTTTCGTTCTGCTTCCTTTCATTCCTCCAACGATTACCGACGACTGCACCTCCGACGACGACCTCGTTTGCGCCACAGGACTCGTCTCCGCTAATACTTTTAGCGGCGAAGCATTAGCGGCGACGTATTTGCGGCGACGTGTCGCCGTTAATACTTTTAGCGGCGACAAACCTACTCTTTTGCGGCGACGGCTTCGCCGCTAATACCAGTATTTCTTGTAGTGGTATGAAATTGCACACCCTTTGAAAGAATCTTGTACATGTACCCAATTAAGTTTACTGGCATGTATAAGTCAAAACCGCTTATAACTAAGTCATTATTTTGTGTAGAATTTAATTACAAGAAAAAAAAGTTAATTGGTTATTAGTGGTTATCTGTGTTCTTAGAATGATATATACTAGGTTACAAGTCTAGGCTATTCATTACAGTCTATACCTTTCTTTTGAAACGATTGAATTTATTAAAAGCACAGCAGGAAGAAAAGAAATTACAAAATTTATAAGCTGGATTACAAAGGGAAACAAAAACCATCGAGTGTCAGGTTGGATGATATCTAAAGACAATGAAGGACCAAACTGTGAATAGGTGTTGTAATTTGAAGGTTGCAATTTAACATCTTTTGACACTCGGTATACACGTAATAAGTAGTGAAACCGAGATGGAAGTTGCCCACACCCCATTTGAGGGTAAAATCATGAAGCCAGAAGCCAGATTGTCTATCCTTGCACCTTTTAAACCGCTGGAATTTATCCAAATTTCAGTTGAACTTGAAATGCCTCCAATATCTCAATTACAAACTTGCATTGCCTCCAACATTACTAACTCAATCTCAATACAGCATCTTTAATTGTATGACTGGATTGACTTGAGAAACCTGCAATTAGGATACAGAAAAAAGAAAGAAGATCCACACACACCAAAATATACCCCGCTAGTGGTATACTGGTATGAATGAAGCAATGTTTGAAAAGCAAATCAATCCATCTAAATTCCATAATAAAAATACATACTATTATTATCTAATGCCATAAACCTTAGTTGTAAATTATAATACTTAACTAATGCAACATTAACCACACAGAATGAACACAAACTTGTTGTATATATTCAACTACAATATAATGAACACAAAATTGTTGTATATATTCAACTACAATATAATGAATACAAAACTGCTAATTAATTTCTACCCTAAATATAACAAATAATAAATGAAAGAAGAAATAAAACTGAAACGATCTATCCTAATTGAATATCTATGTAACTCAAGCTCCAACCTGTACCCACACGCCCTTGCTAGGAATGTTACGATGGCTAATAAACAACATGTAGTAACCTGGTGGTGCAATCCTTCCGCTTGGGGGTGCCACCGCGTTGACCACAGTGCTATCGACTTCTGTAATCCCACAGATGAGCATCCTTTGGTTTTGAGAGTAACCATGAGTCGTGAATGGCGGGTGTAAGAGAGTCACGATCACATCTCCATCTGCCAACTTGGGATTCGATTTGATTGTAAATGTTACTTTAAAGTCTTTCCCGTATTTCAATTGCTTGTCAGTAGCATCTGCGGTGATAACAGGTCTTTCTTTTTCCAACTTAGGGTCGAGGTAATGAGGTGAGAATTTCTCAACTCGTAATTCTGTTGGGAAAATTACCATCGTAAGTGTAGAACTGGTGAGATTGGCTGCCGGCGACTAAAATTTTGCCATCAGGAAGAACAGAGGAGGAGGAATGATACATTCGAGGGATGTTTGTTGGTTTCAGTTCCCTGAACCTTTTACCCCTTCGCATTCTCTGGCATGTAAACTGTAGGAGTGAGGTTAGGATCCTCACCATCGTCCCAACCGGAAGTACCCTTCTTGGCACCATTGATGAGAAGAAACTGCGCGTTTGGAAGCTGCAACAGATCTCCCATGACTCTTGGTGTTGGCATGTCTTGTTCTTTCTGCCATGTCGGATTATCCGCTGTGGCTATGATTCTATTACAGTCGGAAAGTGCAGGTGTGAACACTCTGTTTTGGGTGTATCTTGGATCGACATTTTGGAAAGCATCTGCTTTGTTACCACCACAAATCACAACTTCGATGGTGACTGGTTGGTTATCGGCGGTGAGCCTCAACGGGAGAATAGCAGACTGGCCGGAGGGTGGGTAGTTGCGAGATCCGCCTTTCAACACCGGATATTCTTTCACTGTTTTACCTGTTTGTGGATTAAAACTAATAGCCCGATCATTGGCAAAGATGAAGATATTTCCGTCAGGGAGGAGGTAACAAAACGGATAAAGGTTGTTCTCGACATGGAGACCAGGGCCAGCCGCCGGTGCGGTGGTTTTTTGCAGGAAAGGCAGTTGTTTATTGTTTGGCTTGAAGTCAACTGTCGGCCCAACAATGTCGTAGGTGTAGGAATCCCGACCTCCAATAATCGCTGCACTTCCATCTTCCAGAATACAATTGGTTGCATACCAATGAGGAGCACCGAGTGCATCTTTTTTGTCGATGAACTTTGGAGCCGGGTCATCTACCTTCAGGAGTCTAACACTTGCACCACCCATTTTATTACCACCTGTTGATAAAAGGTCACCGGAAGGCAACAAGTGTCCCGACGAACACCATGGATCAGTTTGAACCTATTATAAAAATCAAACATTTTATCATAAAATCATACAATATATATAATTAAGTATAAGAGTACGTACACTCGATCAGGAGCTAATTAAAAAGGATAAGTAACTTACATAAATGGACTTGACAATGCCGGATTCAATATCATATTGTATAGCATGAGCGAAGCAATCGGGTTCATTGTTGTTATCGGGATTCGGGGGACAGTTACCCTTGGGACCAAGTTCACGAGCAGAAGGACCAAGGTTAGTGGTATCAAACCAAACCGCCTTGTTGTTAGGCATTAACTGATGCTGCATGGCGTTAACGCCACAATTAGGGTTATGGATTATCCATTCACCCTTATAATCACTATCTAAGATGGGTTGTTTGTAGAAAGGTGTAGCACCAGCTTTCTTTTTATCATCGCCACCTTTCTTATTAGGAGTGTCCTTACCGCCACCAGCATCTTTGGGAGAGTTACCGCCGCCTTTCGGAGCAGGTCGGTCTTTTCCACCGTCGCCACCCTTAGGAGCACAACCACCACCCGGACTGGGACACCCTTTCCCGCCGTCGGCACCACCCGCGCAAGGGCAGCCTTTCCCGCCGTCGGCACCACCCGCGCAAGGGCACCCTTTCCCGCCTTCGGCACCACCCGCACAAGGGCAGCCTTTCCCGCCGTCGGCACCACCCGCACACGGGCAGCCTTTCCCGCCGTCGACAACACCCGCACAAGGGCAACCTTTCCCGCCATCGGCACCACCCGCACAAGGGCAGCCTTTTCCGCCTTCAGCAACACCCGCACAAGGGCATCCTTTCCCACCGTCGGCACCACCCGCACAAGGGCACCCTTTCCCACCGTTTGTACCACCCGCACAAGGGCATCCTTTCCCGCCATCGGCACCACCCGCACAAGGGCATCCTTTCCCGCCACCGACACCATCCGCACAAGGGCACCCTTTCCCACCGTCGGCACCACCCGCACAAGGGCATCCTTTCCCGCCGTCGGCACCATACACACAAGGGCAGCCTTTCCCACCGTCGGCACCACCTGGACAATGGCACCCTTTCCCACCTTCGGTACCACCAGGACAAGGGCAACCTTTACCACCGTTGGCACCACCCAGACAAGGGCACCCTTTCCCACTGTCGGCAGCACCCGGACAAGGACACCCATCCGGACAATGGCACCTTTTCCCACCGTCGGCACCACCAGGACAATGACACTCTTTCCCACCGTCGGCAGCAGCCGGACAAGGACACCCATCCGGACAATGGCACCCTTTCCCACCGTCGGCACCACCTCGACAATGACACTCTTTCCCACCGTCGGCAGCAGCCGGACAAGGACACCCATCCGGACAATGGCACCCTTTCCCACCGTCGCCACCACCCGGACAAGGGCATTCTTTCCCACCGTCGGCAGCAGCCGGACAAGAACAGCCATCCGGACAATGGCACCCTTTCCCACCGTCGCCACCACCTGAACAAGGGCATTCTTTCCCACCGTTGGCAGCAGCCGGACAAGGACACCCATCCGGACAATAACACCCTTTCCCACCGTCGGCACCACCCGGACAAGGGCACCCTTTCCCACTGTCGGCAGCACCCGGACAAGGACACCCATCCGGACAATGGCACCCTTTCCCACCGTCGCCACCACCTGGACAAGGGCATTCTTTCTCACCGCCGGCAGCAGCCGGACAAGGACACCCATCCGGACAATGGCAACCTTTCCCACCGTCGCCACCACCCGGACAAGGGCATTCTTTCCCACCGTCGGCAGCAGCCGGACAAGAACAGCCATCCGGACAATGGCACCCTTTCCCACCGTAAGCACCACCCGAACAAAGGCAACCTTTCCCGCCGTCGGCACCACCCAAACATGATGCAAACAACAAAGGGAGCACGATGATTAGGTGTCTGAGTGCCATGTTGAGATGTGTCGTGTTTACTAATGAAACTCGGCGTACACTTTTTGTACTTGTTGTTTTGCCTCATAAAATTTGTAATTCTAATTTTGGAAAGTTTAATTCATAAATTTGCATGCGGCAGTACGTGAAGGTAGGAGTTTTACTAGTATGTGTCTAACTTTTTGTTGGGATCCCTTTATATCGGTCGAGATCTATTAATTCGGGACACAATTTTGGTTGTCGGCTTCAGGTATGCATATAACATAGCAGTTTCTTATTTTTAGACTACAAAAAAGGGAGTACATTGACATTTAGTGTCTCTTTTGTCACGGTTTGTTACCGTATAAAATTGATGTTACGTATAATATTATTTTCATGTTACAATACAAGTGGACAAGCATATTTAGCTCCAATTTATAAATTAATTTTGAGAAAATGAAATATATAGCCTATTTCCCAGAGCATTTATTAAGAAATAGGTAAAAATTAAGAAAAATAATATTTTTAGCCAACGAAATCACATTTGGAATTATCTTCCCAGCTTAATGCGCTGTGATTACGTGGCACATAAGACCAATGTATTGAAACCCCAAGAAATATTTTTAACTTGATTTCAAATTTTCAAACTCTATAATTTCTCTCTAATTGTTAAGGACGGATTTCCATCTAATAATGTTTTAACGATCTAATTTTTAGTCATTTTGTTTGTATTTCATAAGATACTATTTAAAACGTCATTGTTTTTATATACCTTTTAGTTAATGCTTTATAAACTCGTATTTTACACTTCAAAACTTGTACCACAAAGATAGAAAATCACAAATGACATGTCTATTTGCGATTGTAAACGTTTTTATAATTTTATTGCACAAATTATGCATTAAAAGCTTACACAATCGCAGATGGGCATGTCTTCTGCGGTTTTCTCTTAGCTACAGGAGAGGAAATTGCAAATGGCTCGTCTATATGGAATTTTCTCTCTTCTAAGTTTGATTATGCAACTTTCTAAAGCATGGTACAGGCGCTTAAAGCATATATTCCAATCGTAGATAATTTGTTACCGGTAATTTTTTCAACAAACGAACAAACAACTTTGCACATCGTATTAAAGGTTCCAAAAATGTAATGTGGAAAGTAATCGCTCTTCTAGAAAGTGCACTTCGTTTGCTATTTCAGACGACCACATTTAATTTTGACATTGGACATACCTGTTACACGTGATAACAGTGATCTGTTACTTTTTTCATTTGTTGATTCTTGATCGGGGGATTCTAAAGACACCCGATTTAAGGGTCAAATGCCAGTCAAAACCACTTTGACTTACCTTAACCCAAATTGATTGGGATTTAATATAATGATTATAGAATAATGATAACACATGTATCTAACTATGCGCGTGTTTATTTATATAAAATTTCATCTCTAACATATATTAAACTTCTAATTTATACCTTCAACTATTAAATATTTTATCTAGGAGTTCACCTAATATCTTAATTTTATTTTGTATATTTTCATAATCAAGTTTATTTTTTATAATTACATAATCATTTTTATGTTGTATAGTATCTCAATTTTATTATACGAATTTTCATAGAATATTTCAATTTTAATTTGTTTTAAAGTTTAAATATTAACGATATCAATTGGGTTGCAAGACGAACCTACCGAACATGAATAGAGATTTGTTCATATTCGTTCATTTAACCTTAAACGATAAACAAATGAACAAGGATAATTAAACGAACCATAAAAAAACATAACTTGATATTCCTCCACACCTACAATAAATAAAAATTATAATTTTTATTTACAACCGTTTTGTCAAAAACATTCATATTTTAATTTTATTAATTATCAGGGACATCGACTATATGAATATTACAATTATTACGTGGTGCATTCCGTGGAATATATGCATTAAAGAGTTGTACAATATTTCTCATACAACAAAACGTTTTGATCTGTTGTGATGCCAAAGTAGCAAAACTGTAGGCATTTGATACGATTCTTGTAAATCAACTTTCACGTAATGACCATTATGAACGTAGATGATATCAATAGATCTATGATGTGAGATGTCTTTTGGACCATGCCAAAGCGGAAAGCATGTCGACGAACCTAGTTTGTCTAAAAAGTAAACGATTATACCATACTTATTAGCAATAAGGAATCTCCGACATAATCATCCAATATTCATTTTGTGTAGAACCCAATCCAGTGAAACTCAACGTGTGATGTAAGTTGTTTATATAATCATGAAAAATTATTGCATACCGTTCTGAGTTTTCTAATAACACGTATAATTCTGAGCGGATTTGACGCCAATAATTTTGACTATAACCGAGGGAGACAGCTACTGCCCGAAATCCATAATTTCCATCTCCCTCCACATCTTCGATGTTTGTAACGTATTGATGAAATTCATTTGGAATTTCACTCATAAATGAATTTGAATAAAATGTTAAAGGTTGTTGAAGTGAAAACATATTGTGCCTCTCTTGTTTCTGGTTTAAATCAAACTGATTAGACCCACTATAATCGCACCGAAATAAAGATAAGTTATTTATTGTAAATATATGGTAAGTTAAGTAACCATAAATATAAATATAATTATATTATTTTGATTGGATGTAGTGGTATTCATTTACACCGAAATAAAGATAGAGTATTTATTGTATATGTAAGGTAAGTTAAAAGACCATAAATATAAATATAGTTATATTATTTGGATTTGATCATAAATATAGTCATATTTTAAATTTATTATAAAAACGCTCTTATATAATTTTAAGATGTATGTGTATGTTTGCCGTTCTAAAAAAACTTAATTTTTTTTATTAAATTATTTTTTATATACTTATTTAAAACCCGTCGGTCTTATATAATAATGTATTTACGAAAATATCATATTACGTTTGTTTATACTCAAAAAATGAAATAGAAAATAATATATATATATATACATATATATATATATATATATATATATATATATATATATATATATATATTAGAAATAAAATAGGAAAATAAAACGTAATGAAAAAGATGGAAAATAAAAGATATGGTGTTAATTAAGAAAAAAAAAATATCATTTGAATTTGGATTAATAGATATCAATTTGGGTTTTGAGTAAGAGTGCTTTTAACTTAAGTGGTTTTGACCCAAATTTAGGGTGTGATTAACAACACCCATCGATCAGATACACGCTACTAAACACGCTACTAAACAAATGAACACACAAGAATGTCTAGAATTGCAAATTTCTCAATACATGTTGTCGCTTGCGGCGGAGTTTTGTTTAATCACTGAAGTTCGTGTAGGATGATATTCAAATGGAAATCTAAGTCCTAATATATTGGGAAAAGTTTTTTAAAAGTCATAATTTTTTTTAATAAAAAAGCCTAGAAAACTGGTTAATTTCTTCAATTTAATCTTTTTTTACCTTTTCAGCAGATAAACGCTTATGTGGCATGCCAAGTTGAAAGAGATTGCTGACATGACAGCTGATGTCGCATGCCATATCAGCCAAAATGCTTACAACCTTAAAAAATTTGATGTTTTTGAGAAAAGGTATGGACGGGATTCAAAATGGTTACCTCAATATCCCAAACCTAGGACTTAGCCAACTAGACTATAAACTGTTAACGATTTTCATCCTGAACAATAATATATAATACCTATCAACTTTCCTTAGCTTAATCAAAGATAAGATTTCAGATAGGATAAAAACTAGATGGGGAAGGGTCGAACTTTCGTCCTTACGATACAAAATCTTAAGCTTACCAATTGATCTAGATGACTTTTCATATATTTATCCTTCATTATTATATTTATTGTATATCGTTTCGAGGATTTATATCCAATTATTACTATTATTGTTATTATTGAAAACGAAATTAAATAAATTATTTTTTAAAATTCATTTTATCTAATATTATTAAACAAACACTTATTTAAATTTTTTAAAAACGCATATTTATTTATATGTAAAAGATACGTATAAATGTAATAAATACGAATAAAAACATATTTATATGCTTTTATACCTTCAAAAGTTTTTTTTTTTTTTTACTTTATATAGAAAAAATATTCATACTTTTAAAAAATGAAAAAATACATATAAAATAAAATAAAAATAAAAAATGTTATTAAGGTATAAAAACATATAAATGTGCTTTTTATATGTATTTATTACATTTATATGTTTTTTACATATAAATATGTTTTTATATGTATAAATATGAAATTAAAAAGTATTTATATATGTGTTTACTTAATAATATTACTTAAAACGAATTTAAAAAATAATTTATTTAATTTTGTTTTTAATAATAATAATAATAATAATAATAATAATAATAATGTATGCATTTAAATCATCGGCACAATATACATTAACTAAAATCGTGAAAGAATAAATAAACAATAACTATCTAGATCAATTGGTAAGCCAATAGGATTTACAAGAGTTGCAGATTCGATCCTCCCTACTCGTTTTTATCGCATCATAAATAGTATCTTTTATTAGGCTAAGGAAAGCCGAAAGACATTATATATTATCGTTTAAAGATAAGTATCGCATGTAGATTGTAGCCTAGTTGGCTAAGCCTTGGTTTGGGATATTACGTCACGAGTACAAATCCCTCTAAGCCATTTCTCAAAAAAAAAATCCGATTTTTTTAAGGTTGTAAGCATTTTGCCATGCCATGTCAGCAATCCCTTCCAACTTGGCATGCCACATAGGTGTTGACCTTAAATAAAAATAAAAACTTATAATAACGATAAATGCTCTTTTTTTTTCTAGCTCGTCCTGGGCCATTGAGGATATTCAATTTCTCAAGACCGCCATGAAACCTTCATACCTAACGAATCTATGTCAAACTTCTATCATTCAAAAACTTATACTACAAGTCACAATCTTTTAACCCTTACATTTCATTTTTAAAAAAACACATGTAATACAAAATTGTATTTTGAGCTATATGAGTTTAGACACAAAAATATTATCAAGCCTTTGATAAAAATCTTTACATTAATAAACTTTTAAACAAATATTGAGCCTTACATTCAAAAACTTATACTAAAAGTCACAATCTTTTAACCCTTACATTTCATTTTTTAAAAAACACATGTAATACAAAATTGTATTTTGAGCTACATGAGTTTAGACACAAAAGTATTATCAAGCCTTTGATAAAAATCTTTACATTAATAAACTTTTAAACAAATATTGACTATGAAATGCATAACCTCACATAATTAATGGAAACTTACATGTTGTCATGTATCTTATTATCACTTTCGTTAAGCTTACGGTTGCATACCACATCATGGGTCTAAGTAAGACCAAGTCGCCTTGTGCAACCCTTTCCAACTTACAATAACATGAGTACAAATCATCATATCATGACATCATGTTTATTGACATCTACTTAATGACGGGAGCTACCATCGTAGCAAATTCTTGTATGATGTCTTCATGATGGAAGCTACCATCCTAGAAAATTCTTGTGTATGCCCTTGTGGCACATCATGGGCTAGTCAATTTATTCTTTTACATCTTATTATCACTTTCGTTAAGCTTAGGGTTACATACCACATCATGGGTCTAAGTAAGACCAAGTCGCGTTGTGCAACCCTTTCCAACTTACCATAATAGGAGAACAAATCATCCTATCATGACATCATGTTTTTTGACATCTACTTCATGACGGGAGCTACCATCCAAACAAATTCTTGTATGATATCCCCTTGTGGCACATCATGGGCTAGTCAATTTATTCTTTTATTTACTATGCATTTATTCACTCTAATGATGCATGATAACCACTTTTTTAGTGAGTCAATTGCATACGAATTTCATGCTTAGAAAAAGAATATTAACACCCACTACAAACAAAATGTCATTAATTAGTGGCATACATTTTTATTGGCATATATATGATGTGCCACTATATCATGTTTTTAGTGGCATATTCTATGTGTTAATATTAAAATTAGAGGATTTAATGGCACGTAACATTTTGTCACAAATATATATAATTATTAGTGCATAATGTTTTAATATGCCACTAAAAGTTCTATTTTATGATAAATATTATATGATAGAATTAATATAATAATAATAATTAATTATAAAATGGTCCTTAATCTTCATGGTAATTACAATTTTAGTCTCTCTTTTGATTATTTTCCATAGTCTGATACAAACAATCATACACATCATTTTTACAAACATAAAATTTTACCCCTCGCTTCGTTTTCTAATTTACACCCCCAAGAAACGATCCAAACAATCGGTAAAATCGACACAACAACTTACACCATCACCTTACTATACCAGTTACCATCGTTCCTGATGCATCAATGTCGTCATGGATAAGCAATTCTTTGCTTTTGCTCCCAATTACAGCCCCACAAGAACTCCCCAATCGACTAGGTATCTGCTTTTCCTTTAATTATGTTTTTTCAACACATGTCAAATCAACAGTTGAGTTTTGCTTGGAGAATCTTGTAATTCGTTGTTTTGATCCGATTGTAGCTATAAAGTTTGAATCACATTTTACTCGAATCAAATAAAAGACTCACAACTAGATGAGGGTTTGTTTCAGTCATTATTAGGGTTTATCTATCTAAAAATTGCATGTCACAACTATTCTCCATGTACGTCTTGTAGCCACCATTAGGGGTGTAAAAGAGCCGAGTTGAGCCGAATACTACCAAGCTCGAAGCTCGGCTCGACTAAAATACTCGAGCTCGAAACTCGGCTCGAACGCGACTCGAGCCTTGATTTTAAGCTCGAGCTCGGGCTCGTGAAATACTCGACAGTCTCGAGCTCGGATCGGCTCGGCTCGACTAATATTTAAAAAAAATCAAAATCACTAACTTGAGTAAAAATATTAAACATTCCACATGAAAATGTCCAAACTACCAAAAAACCACTATTAATCACCTAATATCAATAAAACATCAACCATATATGTCATAAATGAATAATTATAAAGAAATGACATATATGCTATAAATGAACAATTATAAAGAAATGGCATATATGTAAATTACACTAAGCTCGACTAAGATCGCGAGCCTTACGAGCTGAGTATTTTAGTACTTACGTTCGGTTCGATAAGGTACTCGAGTAGCTCGAGCTCGAGCTCGACTCGATTAAAGTCGAGTCGATTTCGAGTATTTTCCGAGTCGGTCTCGAGTTTCTCACGAGTTGGCTTGTCTCACTTACACCCCTAGCCACCATAGATCACGAACCCCAACCCTTCTTTGGATCGACTCAAGGTCTAAGATGCATTGTGTATCTCCCTCCCTCCTCCGCCCATCTAAAGGTTCTTGCACAATCAAACGATATCATGGATTGAGATGATCGTACGATGTTGGCTGAAATGAGAACTAAGGCTATGATGTTGGTTAGGGCTGAACAAGATGAAGGCGTCGAGGAGGTAGAAGATGATAGTTGATGATGTGCTGGTTGTTTCACTAAAGTATCCATGTATTATGAAGGTACCTAACAAGAAACTAAACCTCACCATTCTCCTTGGAAAATCAAGTTTTGATGTTCCCTTTTTCTGTACCATCCTGTTTCTTGTCTTTCCCGCCGTCGGCACCACCCGCACAAGGGCAGCCTTTCCCGCCGTCGGTGCCACCCGCACAAGGTCAGCCTTTCCCGTCGTCGGCACCACCCGCACAAGGGCAACATTTCCCGCCTTCGGCACCACCATTACAAGGGCATCCTTTCCCGCCATCGACACAACCCGCACAACGGCAGCCTTTCCCGCCATCGGCACCACCCGCACAAGGGTAGCCTTTTCCGCCTTCAGCACCACCCGCACAAGGGCATCCTTTCTCGCCATCGGCACCACCCGCACAAGGACACCCTTTCGCGCCGTCGGCACCACCCGCACAAGGACACCCTTTCGCGCCGTCGGGACCACCCGCACAAGGGCACCCTTTCGCGTCGTCAACACCACCCGCACAAGGGCACCCTTTCCCGCCGGCGGCACCACCCGCACAAGGGCACCCTTTCCCCCCTTCGGCACCACCCGCACAAGGGCATCCTTTCCCGCCCTTGGCACCACCCGCGCAAGGGCATCCTTTCCCACCGTCGGCACCACCCACACAAGGGCATGCTTTCCCGTAGTCGGCACCACCTGCACAAGGGCAGCCTTTCCCGTCGTTGGCACCACCCGCACAAGGGCAACCTTTCCCACCGTCGGCACCACCCGCACAAGGGCAACCTTTCCCACCGTCGGCACCACCTGGACAAGGGCAACCTTTCCCACCTTGGGCACCACCCGGACAAGGGCACCCTTTCCCACCGTCGGCACCACCCAGACAAGGGCACCCTTTCCCACCGTCGGCAACACCCAGACAAGGACACCCATCCGGACAATGGCACCCTTTCCCACCGTCGGCACCACCCGGACAAGGGCACTCTTTCCCACCGTCGGCAGCAGCCGGACAATGGCACCCTTTCCCACCGTCGGCACCACCCGGACAATTGCACCCTTTCCCACTGTCGGCAGCACCCGGACAAGGACACCCATCCGGACAATGGCACCCTTTCCCACCGTCGCCACCACCCGGACAAGGGCATTCTTTCCCACCGTCGGCAGCAGCCGTACAAGGACACCCATCCGAACAATAACACCTTTTCCCACCGTCAGCACCACCCGGACAGGGACAGCCTTTCCCACCGTCGTCACCACCCTGACAAGGGCACCCTTTCCCACCGTCGGCCGCACCCGGACAAGGACACCCACCTGGACAAGGGCAGCCTTTCCCACCGTTGCCACCAGCCGGAAAAGGACAACCTTTCCCACCGTCAGCACCACCTGGGCAAAGGCAACCTTTCCTGCCGTAGGCACCACCCGAACAAGATGCAAACAACAAAGGGAGCACGATGATTAGGTGTCTGAGTGCCATGTTGAGATGTGTCGTGTTTACTAATGAAACTCGGCGTACACTTTTTGTACTTGTTGTTTTGCCTCATAAAATTTGAAATTCTAATTTTGGAAAGTTTAATTCATACATTTGCAAGCGGCAGTACGTGAAGGTAGGAGTTTTACTAGTATGTGTCTAGCTTTTTGTTGGGATCCCTTTATATCGGTCGAGATCTATTAATTCGGGACACAATTTTGGTTGTCGGCTTCAGGTATGCATATAACATAGCAGTTTCTTATTTTTAGACTACAAAAAAGGGAGTACATTGACATTTAGTGTCTCTTTTGTCACGGTTTGTTACCGTATAAAATTGATGTTACGTATAATATTATTTTCATGTTACAAAACAAGTGGACAAGCATATTTAGCTCCAATTTATAAATTAATTTTGAGAAAATGAAATATATAGCCTATTTCCCAGAGCATTTATTAAGAAATAGGTAAAAATTAAGAAAAATAATATTTTTATCCAACGAAATCACATTTGGCATTATCTTCCCAGCTTAATGCGTTGTGATTAGGTGGCACAGAAGACCAATGTATTGAAACCCCAAGAAATATTTTTAACTTGATTTTCAAATTTTCAAACTCTATAATTTCTCTCTAATTGTTAAGGACGGATTTCCATCTAATAATGTTTTAATGATCTAATTTTTAGTCATTTTGTTTGTATTTCATAAGATAAGATACTATTTAAAACGTCATTGTTTTTATATACCTTTTAGTTAATGCTTTATAAATTCGTATTTTACACTTCAAAACTTGTACCCCGAAGATAGAAAACCACAAATGACATGTCTATTTGCGATTGTAAACGTTTTTATAATTTTATTGCACAAATTATGCATTAAAAGCTTACACAATCGCAGATGGGCATGTCTTCTGCGGTTTTCTCTTAGCTACAGGAGAGGAAATTGCAAATGGCTTGTCTATATGGAATTTTCTCTCTTCTAAGTTTGATTATGCAACTTTCTAAAGCATGGTACAGGCGCTTAAAGCATATATTCCAATCATAGATAATTTGTTACCGGTAATTTTTTCAAAAAACGAACAAACAACTTTGCACATCGTATTAAAGGTTCCAAAAATGAAATGTGGGAAGTAATCGCTCTTCTAGAAAGTGCGCGTTGTTTGCTATTTCAGACGACCACATTTAATTTTGACATCGGACATAAATGTTACATGTGATAACAGTGATCTGTTACTTTTTACATTTGTTGATTCTCGATCAGATACACGCTACTAAGCAAATGAAAACACAAGAATGTCTGGAATTGCAAATTTCTCAATACATGTTGTCGCTTGCGGCGGAGTTTTGTTTAATCACTGAAGTTCGTGTAGGATGATATTCAAATGGAAATCTAAGTAAATTCCTAATATATTGGGAAAAGTTTTTTAAAATTCATAATTTTTTATTAATAAAAAAGCCCAGAAAACTGGTTAATTTCTTCAGTTTAATCTTTTTATACCTTTTTAGCAGATAAACGCTTATGTGGCATGCCAAGTTAGAAGAGATTGCTGACATGGCAGCTGATGTCGCACGCTATATCAGCCAAAATGCTTACAACCTTAAAAAATTTGATGTTTTTGAGAAAAGGTATGGACGGAATTCAAAATGGTGACCTCAATATCCCAAACCAAGGACTAAGCCAACTAGGCTATAAACTGCTACCGATTTTCATCCTGAAAATTCATACTATATTATAAGGGAAGCATTTTTTCTTTCACCATATTCATTTGAAACTCTCATGCATTTTTCCTTTCACTACATTCATTTGAAACTCTCATGACTTTTCAATTTCTTTCTAATAATAATTATAAGTTGGTTAATAAGGTTAAATAAATATCAAACCTAAAGTGTAATCATATATAAACTAAATTCAATATTAAAATAATATATTTACTTATACTTATAAAGTTATGTTTTTTAACTTTTAAAATATTATACTTAATTTATTAGTTTTAATATATTGTTGGATGTAAACCATTATCATTTTAAAGATATAATTTTGGAACAATTTGTATAAAATACTTAAATTATTAATTTGAATATAATATTACAGGGTCAACTTAAATATAAATTTTAGTTTAAGTTAAACAACCCAAAGAATATTTTGTAAATAGTTAAAAGTGATTAATTGTAGTGTCTTTTTAATAATGATTATAAGTTGGTTAATAAGGTTAAACAAATATCAAACCTAAAGTATAATCATAAATATACTAAATTTCAATTTTAAAATAATATCTTTAATTCTACTTATAAAGTTATGTCTTTAACTTTTAACATATTATACTTAATTTATTAGATTTAATATGTTGTTGTATATAAACCATTATCAGTTTAAAACAACAACTTTTGAACAGTTTGAACAACATACTTCAATTGTTAATTTAAATATAACATTACAATGCCAAGTTATATATAAATTTCAGTTCCACTTAAAAAACCAAATAATATTTTGTAAATAGTTAAAAGTGATAAATTGTAGTGATAAATGCAAAAACTAAATTGTAATCTCAATTTAACTAAAATATTTCCTAAAGATATTTTTATAATCATCAAAAGTTTTCAAATAAGTAGCTTAAAATAACTTACAATAACAATAGTTAAAAATAACTCTATATAAATTATTATATTGTTACCTTTAAAATCAAAAAACAATGTTTGATGTTTTAAATAATTATAATGATAGAAATTAAAACATTAACCAAATAAATTTTAAAAAATTAATTAACAATAACAACAACTATAAATAACATTAAACCATATATTATATTTAATTTTATTCGTGTGTAACTCGCGGGTAGAAGTCATTCAAACGATTGAGATTATGCAGTTATAATAGATGTATATATTATCATTTAATTCAAAATAATCAATATATTATATCAATTTAGTATACGAATTATTATATCAAATTTATCAACAACGTTATTGCTATATTTACAAAAAACATACATTTGTAAAGACTTCAACTATGTAGGTGTTTATGCGCAACGCGAGTGCATTCGTCTAGTATCTTATAATAGAAGCATTTTTCTAAGCACCATATTGATTTGAAACTCCTTTGTCTTTCCATATTTTCAAATGACTATATTTCTAAGCACCACATTGATTTGAAACTCCTTTGTCTTTTCATATTTTCAAATGACTTTTTAAATGTCTTCTAAATAATTGATTTAGCATTAAACACCAAACATACTATATAAACTCTTACACGTAAGAAGGATGTCATAAGAAAATGAAAAGAAAAATTTTCAATAGGCACAATTCTTTTAGAACGTATTTGCAGTGATGGAGTCCCTAAAAGAGTTCTACAAGTCAAAGTTGTGGATGAATGTATCATTTTTTACTTATAGTTTAATCGTGTTATATTTTTTTTTCCAGTAGTATAAATGAGACCATTCAAGATCATATGTTTAGAGATATTTTGTTTTCTCAAACCATATTGATTTTAAACCTACATAACTTTTTATATTCCTTAATTAATAACATTTATAGTATTTACAAATTTCTAATAATTTTTGCATTCTCTTATTATATATGTAGTTATATTAGTACATTTTTCGTACAAAAAGTCGTCATTTGGTTGAAGATATTGTGATTCAAAAGTTTTCATATAGTTGAAGCATTCACGATCCAAATATGATGAATTGAAGAAATGAGTTATGTCGCATCGATGGTAATTGTAATATGATTTTTTTTTCTTTCAATCAAAACAAATGAAGCTTTTCTATTCTCTCTTTATATTCAATTTCTCATTTGATCTTTATATGTGATTTGTGTGTATTACTCACTCTTGAATGTGACTTTCCAAACATCAATATTTTGCTTGAAATATATTTCTGATTCTTCTTTTTCAAGAAAAACATTTTAATTGCAGGTTAGTAAGAATTGTCATCAAGTTTCTATGGTTGAATGATATTAAATGAAGAAAGAAGATTCAGAAAACGGATATAGGTCTTTTTGTTTAAGCAAAGTAGACAAATGTTACTTTCTTCTTTTGATTTAAATGTATATTTATGTAACATTTTTATTTATATATTCAACCACCAAATGTTCTTATTTATTTGATTGTAGTTTTTCTATTTTGATTATATTTGTTTTTTTTGGGTTATCCTACACAACATATTTACAAGACAATATTTAAAAGATAACATAATTTTTAACATTTGATATGTGATTATGATTAACTTATCATGATATGTTCTTCATATGAAAGTAATTTATTCATATTACTATGACAAGAATTACATGACATTTATTAAAATATATATTATATGTGATTTGTTTAACATGTATATGCACCTAGGTATGTTATAAATTTCTAATTAAATATCTTTATGTTTAATAATTGAAGGGATTAAAATGATGCATCAAAAACAATTATTTAGAGGAATATAATAATAATAATAATAATAATAATAATAATAATAATAATAATAAATACACATTTCCAAGTACCGCATTCATTTGAAACTCACACTACAACTCAAGATTTTTCTAATTTATGTATATTTATTAGTTACAACTCTAGAGTTTTTAACTTATGATTATTAATTAGTAATCACTAATAACTTTTTATTTTCCTTTCTTTTATAAGGTTGTAAAGTTTTGGTCATTAAAAACATTAATGTATTTGAAAAGATTTGTGATTTAAATATGAAGAGTTAATATAAATGTTATAATAGATGTTTTAGTGTTTTTATGTTATTAAAAGTTGTAGTGTTTATTTTTCATATTTTTTATTATTCGTTATTAAAAGTTGTAGTGTATATATATATATATATATATATATATATATATATATATATATATATATTAATACAAATGTTGTAATAGATGTTTTTCTACTTTTATGTTACTAAAAGTTGTAGTTCATATTTTTGTTTATACATTTTGTTACCCGTTATATTATCATTCGTTTGATATATAATTTACACAATTTTAAACGGTTTATAAAATTATTAAATAACTTTAT